GTAACAAATGAAGGGAAATTTAAGAAAACTGTTTGTTAGATTTAGATAATACTCTCTACAATCCTATTTATAAGGTTCAAATTTAGGAATGAGTGTGGCACATTTTATAAGCTTCAATTTGGGTTTGTCTTAACATTTAATGTATTTTTCTAATAGTGTTCTTAATTATTTTTTCCTATCACATTTTTTCACATATTTTCTTTCATCTTTTTTCTTATTTATAATTTATTATAAGGGCATCTTTAAAAACAAAAATATATTTCTAATTTATTTATTATTTTTAGCTAATTTTGACTAATTATTCGTGATCTGTGAATTAATTATCTGAAAGTTATAATAAGGATTGAAGGGAATATTATGTGGAGCTGCAATCAATTAGAGTTGAAACTTGGATCAACCTTAATTGAAAAGGATATAATTATATGATAACGAAGAATATTGGGGGGGGGGGTGCATGATTGGGGGAGTTAGGATTGGGAACCACATGCATGCAGAGACAAAAGTAGGAGGGACAAGCCGACAGAAGCAACCAACCTGATTTTTCGAAAAAACCAGGTACAATAATTGAAACACAACAATGCCCTTATCTTCTGTGGGTCCATCACGCCGTTCGTACCCGTCGGCCGTCGCTTTCCCCTCTTCCGTACACTCCTTTTTCTCCGCCTTCCGCCTCAGTTAAGTGAATTTCAAGCAACTTCCTCACGTCCGGTAGCTATTCCTGCATGTGTGCGCTTGTCCGTGACCTTGTTCCTCTTCTCAACCTTACAAACTATCAGTTCCCTTACCGGTTTGCAAATTATCTCCCTCACGTTAGTTTGAAAAGAAAAAAAAAAGCACTAAAATATAACTAGTTGAAATTTGTGCGAGTTACAAGAGTTCTCACAATTTAAGCAAATGATTGAGAATTTGGTGGGTTGTAAATAATGTATGAGTGTGGGCGAGAGAAACAAGTCTCAAAGTGTGTATGTCGACATGCAGCTTTGAAACCAATAGAGGGTTGGGTCTAATGAAAGGAATTAATCTCTCACAGCATAACGAATTAAAGTTCAAATTCCAACTAAAAAATGTATTCATATTTAGTGCCTCGTAACAATTATTCTTTCTGGCGCCAACCGTTTGAACCTGTGGAGCAATTTAGTTGGGAGGATTACGAGGAAGACGATTGTTGGGGCCGGTCAGGCCTACTTCTCATGCCAGAGAACTAATCAAATGTTGATATGTACTGAGCACTGAATTCAAAGGGAGAGGACGTCTTGGCAGTCATTTGAAGCAGTGTTACGAGATTGAGTTAATATTTAATGTGCAATTATGTAATATATATATATATATATATATATATATATAATAATGCATAAGGCCCCTCTCCCACTCCCTATTATTTTTCAAATTAAACTATTTATGATGCTCAGTAGAGACTGATTCAGGGGGTGCTGGCCCCACATCATTCCCCAAATATATTATATGCAGGCACCTTATTACGCCGTTAATAATACACTAGAATCCAAAATCCACAAATATTTAAAAATAAAAATAAAAAGCATTTGGCCAGACGGGATGCTGGCATCACTATATGCATATGATCATCCAGAGGGAGTATGACTCATGAACGCATCTGCACCCAACACACCCGTGCACACGTATTGTACGCGTACTTAAACGCCGAACGTTTGTGTGTTTTATTAATATTTTAACAGAAAGTGTGTTTTGTAACAAAAAAGCAGCAAATGCTGTCTGTTTTATAAATAACTAATACTATGATTAATTTAATTTTATAAATTAGTTATCAACTTCATACATTTATAACTGGAGAGAATAATACTTAATGCGCACGTTGTACTGTCAAAAGTAATTTTTTTTTTCAAAAAAAAAAAACCTCACATATATTTGATCCGTCTCCAATATCCAGCCGGTAGTTGGGATGAGAAGATCGATGAAGGAATAATTGGGAATAGATATTTGATCACGACGTATAAATATCTACAGATAAAAATACGATAGAAGGGTTTGGTTTAATTTATTGAAGAGGGTGGAGTTGGATGCTTTATTTAATGGAGTGATGGCAGATAAAAGGGAGGAGCGTAATAATGCAAATGAAAGGGGTATGCCAACTAGGAGGAGAAAGAGTTCACGATATCATGTATTTCCAGCTAACCATTTTTGTTCATATATTGCTTCCGTGGCCCAACAGTGACTTCAATCATGCTACATACTACACAACGATCCAAGTGTAGCCTGCATGTTTGTCGAAATGTCTCTGTGCATCGTCATTATGAATATATGGCATCCCATGTTCTTCTTTCGTACGTGTTCATACTCGTACAAAGCACACGTCTTCTGCCTGTACGTATAATTTTGTGTGTACGTGTGTGTATGCGTGTGTGCCTTTTTTTTTAAAAAAAAAAAACATTAAGCGCAAATATCTTTCTATTAAAAATATATTTAAAAGCACTGGAGAAGACTAAGAATTTATTTCGATTGACTTATAAGTAGTTTTTTAATTGTAATTTACAAAATATGATATAAGTATGTAAGGAGAGTTTTGCCTCAACTCATATATAACATGCTTGTATAAGTGATTCCAAACGCCTAAATGCAGGCAATGTCTTGGTGCATATTCAAACCATGCGGGCTTGATTTAAACTTAGTTTTCGTTATTATTATGATATAATAAGACGGGAATTGTCCCTCAAAGTTAGTACATTTTATAAACAAATATGATCCATATCTCATAAAAACACGCGGTTATTTATTTATTTATTTGTTAATATCATAACCTCGTAATTTACATGTAAACTATAAATATCATCATAAACGTTATTTGAGTCGTAATATATACTTGCATGGAGTCTAAGAGGTTATTGGTTATTTTTTTGTTGTTGCAAGAGTGGGCTAAGCCCAATTACAAGAAACTGAATAGACTGGGGACTAGCTCCCAAACTCCCTTTCTGCAGAAGCACCATGGGATGCTCAGGACGAGCTTCATAAAAAGCAGTCTCAGCAATTCCTCTACTCAGCTAAAATTTGTCTCTAGAGGCTGGGGGGAGGGAGAGTTCTAATCAATGCTTTCTATTTTTATCTTTAATTGGTACAAGCTTTTGGTTGCTTTCATGGATTTTTTTTTTCCTGGTCTTATTAGTTATGTAATTCTTCGGTCTTAAATACAGTTGAGAAGTTTATTTTTATTCTATGTTGAAGGGGTTTTTATAAGTCCGGAAATTTTTTAACACAAATAATTAAACAATATTTTAGAAAGTTCAACACACATTTATTATAACTAAAACAACTAATCATCTTAGTCTCTATAAATTAATTATTTAATTTTTACACCTAAGATAAAAGGGAATCCAAGGTTTTAGTTTGGTTGTATGTTGCAGTGAACTAATTGCAGCGTAATTAGTCTCAACTAATGATTTTTCAAATCAATTATTATTATTTTTAAAAAATTAAACATAATGTGTTTTGTCAGTGTTTAAAATTTTAACATTAGAATTTTATCTCACGAAACTAGCCCCAAAAATCCGCTTTATAAATTAAACGCCTAAAATTAAATCCCAGCAAATGGGTACTTTTACTTTTTCTTTTTGGGCATGGGCTTAACTGCCTGTTAATTGAAACGTGGGATATTCTGGTCATCCGAAAGTGAATTGTGGACAAGAGGTCAATCTCATGTCAATTCGACTTGACTGTTGTAATTTTACGTGTTTTAATTGTAAAACAGTTTAAAATTCTAATCCAGTTTTTACAGTTAAAAACTACACTTCGGTCCATTTCATTAAAATTTGAATTAAGATGCAATTTTGTCCCTGATTTTTTTTCTTAGGTGTGATTTTGCCTCTAATCTTTAGGTGCGATTCTACCTCTAAGGGTCAAAATTACACCAAAAAAGAAGAGATTAGGATCAAAATTGCACCACTAAAAAGATCAGGAACAAAAGTATATCTGAAAAATAAAATCATGGGTATAGTTGCATCTTAACCCTTAAAATTTTGTCGTTTTTAACGAGGAATCTAATTTCAAGGTATCTTAATATTATGAATATGAAAAACTCATGCCAGCAAATGAGTAGAATAAAGATGCATTGAATTCCATCATACCCATCACGCTTGAATAACCTATGCTTGCCATTCACAAGTTTTCAATATTTCCGACGCACGCAAATTTTTATTGAAAGCAGTGGTATTCAAAGCATTGTCACGTATTGAATACAGACATCTCTTCTGATAAAAATTCAATTATGATTCATCACACTATATGAAATTAGTTTCTTTTACTAAACTTAGTCTCCGTTTTTAAGCTTTTTTTTTTAATGCAAAAAAGTTTAGGTGAATTGGGGTTTGGAAAGTCTAGGTTCACAGAATGCTTATAGAGATACTTTCAGAATGCTTACCACTAAGATTTTCATATCAGCAGCAAAATAATCTTGTTAATTGTGAGTCAACTCCTTACAAACGCTTGGTGGCTACGCTTATTTTATTTTGTTATGACTTCTGATTGCGTATAGACTTGATTATGTGGCCCAAGAAAAGCCATAAACGTAATATGAGCTGGATTCACTTATTTTTTTAAGCCAGAAATTTTGCAGCTGAGTACTATAAACTTGGGCCCAGCCCAATTAAAATTTGTACCCACGCGTCAAATTGGCAGTTTAAAATAAGGATAATCTCAAAAACGGAAAACGAAAGAAAGAAAGAAAGAAAGAGAGAGATTGACAGGACAAGGGAAGAGGTTTGATGAGGTAAAAGAATCCGACAAAAGAAAGAAAAGCACCAAAATTTCAGGCCACGCAGTAGAGACTGGAGAGAGGGGGGCGAGGTGCTCCCAAAGGAAGGACTTGAGGAGATTATCTTTAATAACCAATCAAATAAATAAATAATGTAAATAATAGTAAATCGGCCAAAATATCTGAGCCTCGGAGTAGACGACGTCGTTATCGTGTAAGTGAAAACGAACGAAGCAGGTTGTGGCTGCCGTTTGCTGGCGCTGGATCTGTGCCCCCACGTTCAGTACAAATGCCCAAACCTAAACCGAAGTAAGCGAAGCCCCCATCATTGCAATCATATGCCCTCCTTTCCTTCAATCCTCTGTTATTGCTCTTCGCTTCACTCTCCTCAGCTTCACTCCCTGACCCTACCTCCACCAGATGGCTACGTATCGGGGGTTTCCTTAGCTATTTTTTAATTCTCTCAACCGGTGTTTAATCGCTTCCATTGTTAGGTACTGCTTGTTCTTGTTCTTCTTTTTTGCATTCCCGCCTCTTTATTTGCTCACCTGCATAGCCTGTAGTTATCTCGCTTGATTTTCCATTTATGATTCATCGATTGTGAGGATCGAATTCTTTTCTGCGCGTTAGGATTTTTGTGGGGGATTGCAGTCGTTTTATCTCCCCCTGTTGTTGGACTGTTTTGATTTTTTCGTCGAGAATGATCTTCCTTTTTTATTTGGATTCAATTGGATCGGAGAGTTCAAGTTATGGGTGTTTGTTATATTTGCGAACCTGACATTTGACCGGTCTTTAGAAGCAGCGGTTACGATGTAGGTTGGTTGCGAGGGAAAATTTTTCTCTATTTGTTTATTTATTTCTTATTTGGGGCCGACGGTGGGAGTGCAAATTTGAGCTTCTTCTACTTTTCTTTTCGTCCAGTAGGCTTTGTTTGATGCGCCATTAGGCTAGATAAGAGAGCTAATAGGATCGAATTTTATTCTGTGCTAGTCTGCGCAATAAATTGTGTAAGCCGTTAACTTAGAACATTTTATCTGCGCATCACTGTATAATTCTATGCACCCAAGAAAGCCAAGAGAGGGGTTAGACATGATAAGAAATCCTGTATAACTCTCCTTAATTGAAAAAAATATTTTTTTTCTCGTTATTCATTATCGTTATTCGTTGCTACCATTTCCGCTAGCACACTCCTTGGCAATTGATGCCACTACTGCTTCTATTGCCACATTCTCCTTCATCATTACTCTCATTACCGTTATCATCATGTTAACACTACCCTTATCGCGGCCATGCCAGTGGCATGATCACCGCCATTGCTACTACAGTGTTATTACCTAAGCAACCGCAATTATGATGCGCTGTTTACGGCTTACTCATTATTCACGCTGTGCTTATATTGAATTGTTTTATAAGTCCTGTTAGGGTGCCAAATTTCATTGTCTTTATTGCTAAGATGCAATTTCATTTGTAACTTGACAGTTTGGGTTACTCTGTATGCTAAGCGCTTGATTCATGATTCTCATTGCTTACCTGATTGAGCTACAGGCAGCTGTACTCCATTAACTTGTTATTTCATGCATGTTTCATAATCAACATCTTTTTTTCTATCTTGATTTAGTGACTGCCTCACACACAGTCCAACTGCTTCCTAGGTTGTCTTTAAATTTTATATGGTTACATTAAATGATTCCTGAATTCTAGTTTCTTTCCTGAACTACTTTGTGATGCGTACTGAGTTGATGCTGGAGATATGATGTTATCCTAGTTAAATGTGTTTCTGCAAACCCATAATTATCTATCAGCCCTGTTTCATAGTTAACTCCGATGCATCGGATCTGTCTATACAATGGATTGCATTGCATAACAATATGAAGGTGAAGCTATTCCCTTGGTGAGTGCTATGTCACTCTTTTATTCTAGGGATAACTTCATCTGCTCCTGTCCCTATTGCAAATGTTTCAGGCTTGTGTTTTGTGACTTCTCATGGCTATCATTAATGATCATGTTGAGGTCCGAGTAATGCTGTCTGCTTTCTTCTGTTGTGATTCAGAATGTGGAACTTTGCGTCAAGTTGTATTGCTGGGAGTGTGAAACTGAAAAATGATTCTCTAAAGCCAACTCAGTCTGCTTCAGAATGCTCCGATGATGAGACTTCTTCTGTTGTGAGCAGAGAGGAAGGGCTTGAATGCCCGATATGCTGGGAATCTTTTAATATTGTTGAAAATATACCCTATGTTTTATGGTGTGGCCACACCCTTTGTAAAAACTGCATCCTAGGATTGCAATGGGCTGTTGTGAAATTTCCAACGCTGCCCATTCAGCTTCCCCTTTTTATCTCATGCCCGTGGTGCAACCTTTTATCTTTCCGTTTGGTTTACCGGGGAAATCTCAAATTTCCTCGCAAGAACTACTTCCTTCTTTGGATGGTTGAGAGCATGAATGGCGATAGAATGAAGTCTCATTCAACTTTCTGTGGGGATCATCAATCACTCTGGCCAATTAAAGACCATTTAACAGCAGGACAACCAAGCCATGTGAATCCTCGGAGGGGACAACTTGTTCGCCATCTAGAGCCGTCAAGTTCTAATCAACATCAAAATAATGCTGGGGGTTTTCTCAGTTTGGAAAGACTGCACACTTCTTTTCGGAAGTCCCTGGTTTTCTTTGTACACTTGACTGCTAAGTTCCCGCTGATCATTATACTTCTTCTTATAATCTTGTATGCAATACCAGCCAGTGCAGCCATTTTGGCTCTGTATATACTTGTTACCATTCTGTTTGCTCTCCCATCATTTCTCATCCTGTACTTCGCATATCCTAGTTTGGATTGGCTTGTCAGGGAAATCATTACATGAGATTGCGAAGTGATATATATATGCAATCTTTATGAATAGAAGTCTGCCTCTCCTAATTGCCGTCTTTATCCTAGATCTTCTGCTTTGTAATTAGCCGACTTATCTTTATCAGGCTGCTTCATTTCTCTCTGTATACATTTTACAGTCCCACTCAATTTCAGGTGACCTTCAGAGTTTCTTGGAGCTCTGGTAGAGCTTCACGGGGTATCGTCTGTCCTGTTTGTAGCGTTAGAAGTATTGATGTTAATTCAAGGCCCTGGAAGGATCATGGTGATGATTTTTTCCTGGCTGTACGTGTCGTGCTTTATCATTTTTTTTTTATTTAACTGAAGAACACATCTGGTATAGTTGTGTAGCATTGAAAAGCTCCTGCTCTATGTACCCATTTGGGACTGTAGTTCCATTGTTTGAAATATAGTTATATAGAATTAATTGGTGTACTTGATGTTGTCGGAGTTCTTAAATGTTCGTTATCAATTTTTTTTTTAAAGTAAAAATGACATATGGACAGATTTTATTTTATCGTAGAACGTGATTGACAACGCTTTCCAATGTGTCGTGGAAAGGACAAATTGTGAGGTAATCCTCCAGTCTTTAATATAGGACTTAATTATTGAGTTGGTTTTGGTCCTAAATATAAGATTTATTTTTCATATTTATCAATAATCTCTAAATTAGCCCTATGGATACTCCCTTAACCATAATCAAGTAGAAGAAGAAGAAGGGTATTGAGAAAGATGATTATGGTGTTTTAGGAAAAACGTGTCATATTTATTATAATTAACTAACTTACCTAACTTCCTTAATCTAATCAAATTAGTTAAATGGGTCTTATATTAAGGACCGGAAGAGTAAAAGTTAACACTACGTGTTTTCCGGGGGAACGAAAAATGAAATAAAAAGTTTTCTATAAAAGAAAACGATTTAAACAAAATGATTTTTGATAATGTGAAAAAGTTAAAAAAGTAAATTTAAATATAAAAAAAATTTGGACAAATGCTGCTTATTTATGAGCCAGGCAGGACATTGTTTTTTGGGGGACAATTTTAATGTGTGCCATGTGAATAGTTTGTGGAACCTGATTCCATTGAACCAAACGTCATTTTCCTCGACTTTCTTTTTCATTACCGCGCAGCCAACACGGCATAGAGAATGGAGTCAATGATCCAAATCGAGCACAATGCCGCACATTCTGTTGCGCAAGAATTCTCGGAAAGAGAATTCCACCCTTGAGGGGAAGTTTTCTGCAAAAGCAAGTGTTGAAAAGGTCGACTCTTCATTCCTAACTCAGACTCCAACGCATACCTTTCACTTTCCACTTGCTATGGTCAAAATTTGGGCAAGGGAAGATTTGTCCTCCTCAAATCTAGACGTCACGCAAGTTGATTGTTCCGCTTCCCCTATTTCCTGACGAATCATTTCTTTTCCGTCTCTATGCCCCGCACAAAAGAAAATCATCAACCTTCTAGATGTCGTGGGCTCGTGGCCCATGTATACAAGTAAAGATGTATTACTCTATTTTTTAATATGAGAACTAATTTGATATTTAATTTGATCTTAAATACTCTTCCGGTCTTTAATATAAGATCCATTTAATTAATTTGATTAGATTAAGAAAGTTAGGTAAGTTAGTTAATTATAAAAAATGTGACACATCTTCCTAAAACACCATAATTATCTTTCTTAATACCTCATTTCCTTCTTTTACTTGATTATAATTGATGGACTTCTATAGGGGTAATTTAGAGAAAATTGATAAATATGAGAAATGGGTCTTATATTTAGAACCAAAACCAACTCAATAATTGGGTCCTATATTAAGGACTGGAGGAGTATGATATTTTAATATATTTCTGCCTTTCATGTTTCTCTGTTTTGTTTTAGGATAATCTTTATAGTAGTTATATATGTTACATATTTTATCAAATAGTAGTTCTCATTAATACACATGATTAGCAATGATATTTTATGAAAGACAACATATATTTATTACAAATAATTAACTTAACTAGTTTTTTAATTTATATAAATTAGTAACTATCTTTTATATTAAGGACCGGATGTAGGACTTTATAATTATGTATTTTATTTTTTCCTCTCTCATGCGCCACATTTTTGCGGCTACTACAGAATCAAAATTCTTCATGCCTGAATTGCGTGGCATCTTACTTCTTGAAATTCGAATCCTAAAATACGTTAATGGGGACGAGAGGGCTGGTTGATCTACTTTTCTTGGATGCTGACCAGCAATTCTCCATTGTTGGATAGCCATCCTCCTTGACTGACTTCTCCCGCCAACTGATTTCGCCTACTTCGTAGTTGTCATTTTCTACTCACCTCATGGACTCTTGTCAAATTCCCACACCGCCCCTCTGATTTTTTAACATTAAAAATAAAAACCAACCACATTAAAGAGCATTAATTCTTGTTTTTTTTTTGGGACCTGATAAAAGAGCATTCTAGACCTTGTGCATGCAGATTGGAAAAGAATCCATGGAGATGATATATTAATATTATCATTCACCTCCCTCTCCTCTTCTGCTCTCTCCATATGTGTGTGGTTATATAACTTCTCGTCTTTTTGTCAGTGTCATCCACAAATTGTTTGATGCTTCAAGGCATGCAAGCTCGATCCACCGTGCATCCCCCCCCCTTCCCTCTTTCCCTTCCTTCCTTTGAATATTTTTTAATTATTCAATGGGTTAATATAATTTTTAGTCTTTCAAATTTATTTTTATTTTGATTTTGATTTTGATTCCTCAATTTTTAAACTATAAATTTTGATTTCTTAATTTTTTTATTTAAAATATTAGTCCTCACAATCTAATAAAAATCTGTATCATTTTGTTTCTTGAAGAACTAAAACCAAAATGAAGACAAATTTAAGTGGTTAAAATTATATTAATCCTTATTTAGTCTTAATTTTTTTTTAATTTCAATTACTCCTTTCCAGATTATGATGATCTACGTCTCTTGATGTTTTTGTTTGTGTGAAGCTAACATGAAATAATAGTGACCTGCGAGCTTGTGATGAATGATAGCGATGATGATGAGCGGTCCGGGACGCCGGTGATGCGCGAGAATGGAATATTCTTTAAACCTAAAAAGGACAATTAGATCGAACAAACAACCATTAATTAATATTTCTTCAGTCTTTAATATAACACATATTTAACTAATTTGATTAAATTTAGTTAATTATAAGAAATATGACATATTTTTTCTAAAACACTGTAATTATCCTTTTTAATATATTCACCTTTCACTTACTTAATTATGGTTAAATGAGTATCCATATGGGTAATTTATAAAAAATTAATAAATATGATAAATAGATGTTATATTTAGGACAAAAACTAATTTAATAATTATATCTTATATTAAGGATTGGAGGAGTATTAACAAAAAGAAATTTAGAACAAATTTCTTATGTTCATTGTGTTAAGTTCTTTAATAACAGATGGTCATATATCTTTTTTTCATGTGAATTTATAATTAAATTATATTCTCTCCGGTCCTAAATATAAGACATATTTTACACTAAATATAAAACCTATTTTATAGTGTAAAATAATCTTATATTTAAAATTAAAAGAAGTATTAATATTTTAAAAATAAGATACATGATTATATGTGATTGAAAAATTTAAGATATTAAATATGATGTAAGAATTGTCAGTGTTAATAATAATGTGGGCTAGCAGATAACATTCAAAAATTAACAACACAACCTAACGTGACCGACGCAATCTGAGTCTGCCGCGTTAATACTAAACTATGGGTAGCCATAGCAGAACCACAACTTCGTCTCTATTCTCCCTCTTCTTCTTCCTTAATTAGTCAAACCGCTTCTTACCTAAATTACTAAAGTGAAATGAATTAGCTAGTCACAATTAATGTGTTAAAAATCTGTGATGACTTTTTTAAAACATAAACACCCTCGTAATTAATTCATTATATTTGCTTTTTTTTTATTCATCAGAAAAGGACTGACGTTTCAATTAGGAATATTATGAGAACAAAAATTAAAATATTAGACAAAAATAGATAATATTTTATATTAAAAACCAGATCGTAGTTTTTGAAAGCGTTAAATATAATATCATGAGTTTTAATTATGTACATATTTTTGTTTTGATACATCTAGATGTTTAATCAGGTAAAGAAATGAAACGTTGAGATTAGCCATAGTGGTAAATGAATAGTTGTGAATTGAAATGACCTTTTTCTCTAATTCCCCTGAGATTATGGTATGATGCCATGCCCATTTCTAATTTTCTACTGTGTCATTTTGGGATTTGTCAACCTACTAATTGTCATCATGAATCGTCCCTTGTCTTGCTGAAACTGGATCACCCCCTCAATTATTTATATTGTTGTAAATGCCATAATGAAGATATAATAATCTTTATCCCCTGAAAGGATATCAATGAAGATAAAGATTATTGTTGCCATAATGCAGGAGAATCCCAGGATACACTCAGTCACAATATGCTGGATCACCCCCTCAATTCATTCTAATTTGGTGTACTTTATTATTGTTTTTTTTTTTTGATAAGATGGTGTATTTTAAGGAAGTGTCTGGATAGAAACTAAACTATAGTTTTAAAAGTATTTTTACAGTATACAAAATAAATATGTGAAGGAGTTTGTCCCGTTTTGTAAAAAAATACTTTTAAAAAACACTTTTATACAATTCCAGACACCTCCTAATACGATGGTGAGAATTGAAGGCCATTTGAATATTAAAAAACACGAGCACGACGATTTCACTCACAAACACAAATACTACCTCCGGTCCTAATTATAAAAGTCAGTTGACTAATTTGAGGAAATTAAAGAAGTAAGTTAAATTAGTTATTTGTCCTAAATAGGTGTTGTCTTTCCTAAAATATCTTTGTTAATTAAGTGTATTGACTAGAACTATCATTATTAAAAGGGCTACTTTAGAAAAAATGTATAAATATGAAAAACAAAGTGGATTAGGGTCTTATATTAAGAATCAAAGCTAGTATATAATAATTTTTTTGAGTTATCCGAAGCAAATTTCATGATAACAAATATTTTCTTATTGCATATTAATTGGAAAAATTAGAAAAAATATTCCCTGAATAATTTATTGGCGAGAAAATTGTTATGCATAAAAATATCAGCATTCCATAAATATATCAATATCTTAATTTAGATGACTTTCAATAATAAAAATTTCAATTGCATCTGTTTAATTTTTAATTGTTTTAAGAAACGATTAAAGAAAATTTAATAACTCGCACAACAAATTAAGAAATTATACCCCACTATTATTCTTTTATTTTCTTAACATGGCCTAGATTCGACGTCTTCTGCCAAAAACCTTGGGTTTAGTGAGAAAATTTCTTTTCAACGTCTTCTCTCTCTTCATCCCTCCCTCTGGAGTTTGGATTCTGTGACAAAGGGTAGAGTTCGAATTCACTCCGTCCACACCCAAAAAAAAAGAAGAAGAAAAAAAGAAGAGGAACTGACTGTACACGGAGTTTGGAAGGGAAGCCGCGGACGAGAAAAGAGAAAGCAAAAGAAAGGAGGAAACTAGAAGCGGTTGCTTTCAGTCTTCCACTTTCTCTTCTATGAAAACCAAGGGTTAAAAAGTTGTGTCGTTCTGTTCCTTCTTGGCTTTCTGATCAGACAGGCTTTCTACAAACTGTGACTATTATAAGGTATTCTATTTTTATTCGTCGACAACCGAAATTAACAACTATGAAAACCATCTTCACTAAAATTATTTCCTGGGTTCCTCTTCTTTTCTGCGATATTCAAATGGGTTGGCGGTAAACTGCAATCTTACTTATCTTCTCCTTTTCGTTGGATGGTCCAATTTTGCCGCTATTAAGATTGGGTTGTCATATTCATTTGAGTTTCCTTTCTGTTGTACCGGTATGGTTTCGTTGGGTGTGTTTCCTGGTTTTCATCATATTCCTTGAGTTTCATTTCTGTTTTACCGGTTTGGATTCATTGGGTGCGTTTCCTATGTATCTGTTTGTTTGTTTGATTGATTGTGTTTGTTTTTTCTTGGATTGAAGTTGTCTTCTGAAATGGTTTTGTGCTAAATATTCGACGTCAAGCGATGTTTTGTTCGGAGTACGAATTTCCATTATTGTTTTTCTTATGATGGCATGGTATTAATCTAAATTCTTCTGCTTGCATTATGATGTAATGAGTTTTTCTACACTCCTGTTATTTTTGTTTAGTATACTGTAGCACTTGATTCCCTCTCATCACGAAGCTGATTATTAGCTTGACTTCTAATTTTCATATCACAAGTGAAATTTTGTCACATTTCTCTCTTCATTGATTTCATCTAATTCTTTATTACTTGATCTTTGGATTCTTCGTGCCTTTATATCAAAGATTATTTAAAAAGATTAGCAACGAACAATCACGACGCATATGCTGGTAGCACAGGCGTCTGGAAAACAGAGCATTGTTGTTTCTTATCGAACGTAACTATGAATGTGAAAATAGATAATTTACCAGATCGGGTGTTCTATATTGTTCCGTCGGATGTTCCATGATATCATTCCTTTCCTATTTTTGTTGCCCTATTACCTTTTCCTGTTGCATCAATACTTTCACGTGGGAATAATAAAACAAGTTTGGAAAGGGACGACATTCTTATGATGTCAAATTTCATATAAATGATGGCCCGTCAAGGCTTTTCTATTTTTGTCTTGACATTTTGTGCTGTGGAAGTTTTTGAACTTTTCTATCAGGAGGCACCAATATTAAAACTCAAACCAGAAGAATCAAGAAAATTGATTATTATGTTCAATGTTTGGGAATTGTTTCCCTAAATCGAGAAAACTTCAACTTGATATTTCCTTTCATTTTGCTTTTACTGTTTGAATCCCTCATTACCCAATCTTCAATCCTGTAGCATTCCCTGGATCCATCTAAAATTAACTCTGTTTTTGAGTTTCAGGATTGTTTGTTCTAAATCTTTATCCGCCATCTGATGGCTGAGGAGAGTGCCGATTTACCAGTAGCTCTGGAAGTAACTGATTCATCTTCGGTTAAATTAAGAAGGAACTCCATTGCTAGAGCAAGCTCTGGAAATATTGAAGATGTAGATATTCCTCATTATCGCAGAGCTTCCATTGGCTCTTGTCATGATTTTTGTAAATATGGTTGGAAGCATGCTTTTGAAGTGAAGGAAAAACATTCTGTGGCCAGCAGAGTGCAAAGAAGTCCACTCAGTCAAAGCTCTGAAGCGGATGTCAATGGGGCAAAGACTCATGTGGCCAACCGTAGAGCATCTACTGGTTCCAAGCCACCAAGGAAGGCATCAATGGTCAAGGTCAGAGAATCAGTCAATTCCGAGCCCCAGATTTCCAACATCTTTGACACCAATGAGAAGGAAATGCCAACAAAATTACCTGACAGCCCGAAACAAGGAAGGAGTGAAGTTCCAGTAACAAAGAAGAAAACATCAGTGGTCAAGTTGAAAACAATAATTCATAAAAAATCCCGAACAGCTGATTTTCCCAATATTATCACACAAGGGAACTCATCAATTTCTGCAAAGCTGGTGCGAACTTCATCAAAGCCAACTTTGGGGCCGGTGAGAGATTCATCAAAATCACCTGTAGAGCCAGTAGAAGCTTCAAAATCAGTAGCAGAGATGCCAGTAGAAACTTCATTAAAATCAACTATTGAACCAGTGGAAACTTCCTCAGAATCAATTATGGATACAATGGGAATTCCATCAATATCAATGGTGGAGCCAGTGGAGTTTTTATCAAAATCACCTCCGGAGCTGGTGGAAACCTCATCAAAATTAAATGTGGAACCGGTGGAAACTTCATCAATATTAACCATGGAGCCAATGGCGACTTCATCAAAGTCAATTATGGATCCAGCGGGAACCCCATCAATATCAATTGTGGAGCCAGTGGAGTGTTCATCAAAATCAACTCCGGAGCTGGCAGAAAATTCATCAAAATTAGATGTGGAAGCGGTGGAAACTTTATCAATATTAACTGTGAAGCCAATGGTGACTTCGTCAGAATTAATTATGGATTCAGTTGGAATTCCTTCAATATCAATTGTGGAACCAGTGGAGTGTTCATCAAAATCACCTTCGGAGCTGGGGGATACCTCATCAGAATTCATTGTGGAAGCGGTGGAAACTTCAGCCGAATTAACCGTGGAGCCAATGGTGACTTCATTAGAACCAATTATGGAGCCAGTGGGAACTTCATCAATATTGATTGAGAAGCTGACGGCAAGTTCATCAAAATCATGCGAGGAGGATGCAGAGGCTGCATCAAAACCGCCTGCAAACCAGTGGAAGCTTTGTCAAAATCAATTCCTAATAAGGAGGATGTTTCATCAAAATCAGTTGTTAAGAAGGTGGGAACTTTGTCAAAATCAACTCCAAAGAAGCTGGAAGCTTCACCAAAGTCACCCACCAAGAAGGTGGAAACTTCACCGAAGTCAACTGCTATGGTGGAAGGTTTATCAAAGTCAACTGCTCAGAAGGTGGAATCTTCATCAAAATCATCTACTAAGAAGCTAGAACCTCCATCAAAATCAGCTGCTAGGAAAAAAATAACCACTAAGAAGATGGAAGCTTCACCAAAATCAACCGCTAAAAACGTGGAAACTTCACCAAAATCAGCTGATAAGAAGGTGGTAATGTCTAGGAAATCAACTGCTGAGGTGGTAACATCATCAAAATCAACTGCTAAGGTGGGAATTACATCAAAATCAGTTGTCAAGAAGGTTATAACTTCACCAAAGTCAACTGTTAAAAATGTTGAAGCTTCAAATTCTATGGTACGAACTTCATCAAAACCAACTCCTTTAAATGCCAAAAAAATGAAATCATCTGAAAAGCACGTGGCTCCTTTGAAGTCAAACTCTATCACAGTGTGTTCCGTATCTTCTATGAATGCTTCAGGAGGTTCTAATGGCGAAAGCAATAGTAAGCTAAAGATGGAAAAACGGGCTGCCTCCTTGAAAGTAGCTGCAAGAAAATTGATGACTCCTTTGAGAGCTCCATTGCCCTCCAAATCCTCTCTCAGTAATAATGGAGTCGTAAGCATTAATGCTAGAGAGCACAAGAACCTGAAAATTGCATCTCATTCAAAGAATCAATTGAAGACCAGAAAATTTGAACATAAGAAACCTGGCAATGATGCAGTTGTGGAAAAGACTTTGTATGTCATCAAGATGGAAAGTGGAAACAAAAGTTTGCAGACTGATCGAGATACAGGTAATAATGTTGCATTTTCCCCTCACTCATCATCACCCCCAAAGTTTTCATCCTCATCCCAAGAAAGTAAAGAGGAATCCGAATATACAACCAGTGAAGGCAAGGAGGATTCTTTTTCAGTAAACCCTGAAGGTGAACTCATGAAAAGCGGAGAGGCTTTGGAAGTGAAGGATATAGGCCAGCCCCGAATGGTTAGGATCGTATCTTCTGAAGAAAAGGCTAGCCAGATATCAGCATTAACTTTTAGAAGGGGAAAATTGGTTGAACTTCAATCTGAGATAACTTCTCCTAGGAGGCTTAAATTTCGAAGGGCAACAGGATCTGGGGATAACGCAATGGTCAAGGCTGAAAGCCTAAGAAGTTTTAAAAGAAGATATGAGAGTGGTATCGACAGGATGGGCACTCCAACTGGTCCAGAGAAGGTTGTTTTGAGACGTCAAGGTACACAAGGCAAGCGAGATGGGCACGGATTGTTCAATAATGTAATTGAAGAGACGGCAAATAAGCTGGCAGAAATTCGGAAGAGCAAGGTTAAGGCGTTGGTTGGTGCCTTTGAATCTATAATCTCTCTCCAAGAGAGAAAACCCGCTGTAAAAACAATCAGTTGATTGTAATAAACAATGTCTAACTTGTCATTTGTTATGTCAAGAAGTGAAGGGAAAATAAACCTGAGCTTGTGATAGCAAATTCAACGGCTTTTGCCTATGATATGTGCCTTTGGTTTTGTGTAGAAGCTCTAAATATGGAGTTCATTCATTTGCAGCTCATCTTGAACTGCTTCATATACATTTCTGGAGAATATATATGCTTGTCTGCTGCAGTTGATAACGGTTGTAATTTGATAAAAAATGAATTACTGCCAAAACGTACATGTATCAACACAATTTGGGGCCAAACTACAGAGATTTGTTGCTTCCCCCAAATGAATATGTTTTTCATGCTCTATCTGGGTTTTCACCTTTTATTCCATACTATGATCATGATTTTGCATTACCCCACCCCTTCTCCCCGGGATAAAAAAGAATTAAGAAAAAAGGGGCAATCCAGTTTAAGAGTGCTCAATAAAATTGTCATTGAAGTAAGTCCTGTGATGCAAGTTGATAATGTGATGAAAATGAGCATACCAAGGAATGGAGCTGTTGTTTGGGTATTGAATTCCAGGATAAAGGGGAGCAACATCAGAGAACTCATATCATTTGAATTTTTGGAGTGCAAAGTCAATATGTAATTTTACTTGCTGTCTAATTTTTAAACATTTTAAATTTTATAATCATTTAATCATTATTAATTTAAAATATAAAATCTGTGGATATAGTTTTATGAACAATGCTCCTCTAAGAGTTCAGCACAATCTCATAAAAATGAAAAAACTTGGTTATCTATTTTTTTTATTGCGCACACACATTTTTTATTAAAAACTTATTCGAGGCACTATTGAACTTTATTAGTTTTATCTATTTTATACACAGCACAGGAAAAATATATAACTGTTGCCTTACTATTTTTATTTAAAATTACAAGCTTTATTTCTCATTTAATTCTGTTTTATGTACTAAATTTTAATTCACCTAATAAGTATATACATGTATATTATGTGTCAGATTAACTAAAATAAAAATGTACTAACAATCATATTCATTTTTAAACGTTTTTACTTTTAATTTTCCAAAACTCCATTTTATCTTCGCCAAAAAAAATTTTCATTTTAGCATACGCATTACTATATACTACCTCCTATTCTTAATATAAGAGTTAGTTTATTAATGTGAGTAGGTTAAAGAAACTATTTAAATTAGTTATTTATAATAAATATGTATTATTTTTTAAAAAAATATTCTTGTTAATCAAATGTATTAGTTATAACTATTATTATTACAAGAACTATTTTAAAAAAATAAATAAATATAAGAGATAAAATAAATTAATATATTATATTTAAAATCAAAATAAAAATTAAATAAATTTTTATACAAAACTTATTTTACAATATAATTTATACTACCTCCGGTCTTTAATATAAGACCCCATTTGACTTTTAGTTTGGTCCTAATTATAAGACCCTAATCTATTTTGTCTCTCATATTTATGTATTTTTTTTTCCAAGATAATCCTTCTAATAATGATAGCTCTATCCAATACACTTAATTAGCAAGGATATTTTAGGAATGACAACACTTATTTATTACAAATAACCAACTTAACTTACTTCCTTAATCTCCTCAAATTAGTTAAATGGGTCTTATAATTAGGACCGGAGGTAGTATTATTCTATAAATACTCCCTCCGTTCCTTATTATAACAGACAAATAACCAAATTACGTTGATAAAAAAACAGTTAAAATTAGTTGAGGACAATTAATGTGTAAAAAGTATAATATTTTTTCCAACAATGCCCCCATTAATAAGGAGAGAGAGTATGAGAGAGAACAGTTAAATTATTAAAAGAAAGAGAAGTGGGAGGGAGGGAGAGTATGAGTTGGAGACAAAATAAATAGGGGTAAAATAGGAAATCAGTACAAAAAAATAGAGACAACTTTTAAGTGTCTCTTATATATAGGAACATGCTATAAGTATTAAATGTTTTTTATAATAAGAAACGGAGGGACTATTTAGGACAGCATAGTAACACGCATGCCAAGCGATGGAAAGAATCATTTGCGGGCACTTTTGAGATTCCGACGCGACAGGGATATTTTGGGTTTTATGGGAATGGCAAAAGCGATTAGCGACAGCCAGGGCTCGTCGATTGCGTCATTTTACGAAAATGACCTGGCATTAAATCATGCCACGTCAGAGACAGCTCACCCGCTATGCTATGCCAGCTAGACATGTATGAAATGTGTCGGCATGTTATTTGACAGTGATATATGTGGTTTGACGTCCTGTTGCCCTATGATTGCCTCCAAATCTATTACACCTTCTCACGGTCCTCATCCCCTCTTCTGCATTGGCTGCAGCTGCCGAGTTGAATGTTTTCTGTGTTCTTCTCGGCCGAATTGATCCTCCCCAGAGGTGAATTTACAGATGATTGCTTGCAAGAAGCTCCTTTTCTTCTCATTTTGTTTTTAATTTTGGTTTTCTTTTCGATTTCGTTTTTGCGGAGTACTTGTGCTTCTCTGTTGTATGCAGAGTGGGGTTTTCTATAGGGTTTTTCCGGCTATGCGGAAGCTGGGATTCGTTAGCTAAGGGATATCGGGTTTTCTGATTTCTTGTCTCTGGGATACATTCCACTTCCAGGTTCTTAGCTATTTGGTTGGTTTCTCACTCTGAGTCGAGGGTTTGTTTGGGTTTTTCATTGTGTGCCGATTCAGTGAAGTAATGTGTCAATTTGGGTTTGTCTCTCTATCAAATGAATGAATATTTTAACCTACTATGCATTTGCTGATGATAGTGCCTTAGAAGGACGTCTGCGTATTGTGAGGAGTTCGAACTTGTAGATGAATGGCTATGATTTTTTTTTCCTTAAAAATATAGTCTTGATTTCAATGCCGTCGTATTTAAGTATGTTTAACTGGGAAAACTGCGAGCAAGGCGCAAAACAACCAATTAAGCATCGCTTTCTAGCTTAACCATATTAGTTCCTATTCTTCTTCTTCTTTTTTTGTGGGTGAACTAGTTCCTGTTCTTATGCTATCCTCTTTGGATTGTGCCAACATTTGAGTATCTGAGGTGAAGATTTTTTTTTTTTTTCTTTTTCTTTTTTTGGGAAAAGAAGTTTCTGCGGAAACAATGGCATTCATTACAAATTTTTGTTTGTAAAAGGATTCATCTGTGTTGGTTCCTCGCCAGTTAGGAGCTGAAGAGACGCATCATTTGAAGCCTGTTTTATTTATCAATCTGAAAATAGAGCTTGTAGTTTGTGGGCTATAGGGCTACCGAAGTAACAGTTCATGGAAAACATACTACACGCCAATTTTAACCAATAGAAGAAAATCTCTTACTTTTCTTTTAAGCCAACTTCTGAGTACTTGTGTCTTGCTAAATGCTAGTTTAATAGAAACTACGAACTTTAAATTGTATAAAATTACAAATCAGAATGAAGTTTTATTTCCATGACATAGTCTATCAGTTTTAGTTGCTGTATGATATTTCCTGCTTACAGTGTACTGATGCTCTACCTAACATAATTATTAGACATTTGTTTAATGTATTGGTACCCTTGAGTATGCCTACAGACAATTGTGATATATTGGTGTTTTGTTTTCTAATTGTATCAGGTGAAGAAAATGATTATAACAAAGCAGTACCGATGCATACACTCAGCTACCTGTCAATGCACTAAGGGCCATTTAAGTGAAGACGTGATATTCTTAGTATTTCACTATTTAAATTGGAATCCCAAGCTAATTGCTACTCTTTCATGTGTTTGTAAATGGTTTGATGATTTTGCCAAGCGGGTACTATGGAAGGAGTTTTGCCGAACAAGAGCTCCGAAAATGATGATTGATCTGCAATCTAGTGGGAGCCACAGTGTTGATGGGAACTGGAGGGCTCTAGGAAAGCTCCTTATTTACTGTTCAGGATGCAAGAAAGGTGGCTTGTTTAATAACATTCATATCCCTGGTCACTTTGTTTATAGAACTCGGTTTTCTAGAACATCAGGAAAGAGCTTCCTTTTGCCACCATGTAGAACTGATGTCTTATACGTGTCTGATCCTTGTGAGCATCTTCACCAAGGAGAAGAAGGGGATATAGGATTCTTTCGCGGAATTTTCAAATCATTCTCTACATCAAAAGTTAGGAAGATGCTTATTAGCAGAGGTGCCAAGCTCCATCCTACGGAAGTTTGTCCTTACTGTAAGGCAAAGTTGTGGAGCATGCTGCAGGCCAAAATGATTCCGCTAAGTGCTAGCTGCAGGTTGGGTTCCTATGAAGATCGTGTTGAGTACTATGTGTGCCTCAATGGTCACTTGCTGGGGATCTGTACCCTCTTACCGTTGTCTGATTCAGAAGAGACATCTGAGTTTGACTGATACCCAAATTATTGTCAGGTACATGCCCGCATCTGGAAACCATATCTTTCTGTCCTTGTTCGTGCTTTCTTTTGGGATTTATATGAGATGGAAACTTATTGTCTCAAATGTCATTCTCTGTATGAAAATCTATGGGATAATCGGTGGCAATGACAGGCGCCACGTAGTATCTTGATCAAAGATTTGCTGTTCATTATGATGACTGTTTGATATTTGACCAAAGCTAATACTATATTCCAAGGAGAGACTCAATTTAGTCAAGGCTGGAGGTTTATGCTGTAACTACTTTGTTCTGAGGTTTTGATAACATGACTTTCTTTCTCTTGATCAGATTGCAACCAGTTTCTGGATGATATCTGAATAATCACTCCGCTGGTATGCTCCCGCGTATTCTTGTGGTTAGCGGCATCTGAAATATACGCGTACTCTTATGGTGATTCTACTCGAGCAATTCAAGTTGGTGCCGCTTTTCTGATCCATGCCAGTCGGTTAAGGATGGAAAATGCTACTGCATTTTTCTTTATTGAACTATTACATATAAGGTTAGCTGGCCAAACAGAGAACTATTACACGTGAGGTTGTTACACTGAACTAGCTGATACCTTTTATATCCATGTGTTGATATATGGCATTGGTGACAGATCGGTAGTTGAATATTCCATTCAGTATCAGTCTGATTCATTTTCATTTCTCATTATCTCCGAAAGATTTGATCCCCTGTCCATCCTATTCTGCTGTACGGAAGAGACGTGATTTTATTCATTCATTTTTTCGCGAGGGGTTTTTTTTTGGGGGTTTGAAGAGTACTTTCCTCTTTATTGACGAAATCCATCGCAAATTCTGTGAGGTGTAAAATTGAAGAATTGGTAACTCCAATGGACGGGTGAAACGAGCCATTCATTCTATTCTTACATTCTTTATGTTTGGAGAACTCGGTGGAAATGGTGGTCCCTTTGGTGGGAATCAGTTGCCCAGTTAAAATTTGGGTTACCAAAAGAAGAAAAGGACATTATTTATAACGTTAAATAATCTTTGAAGTTATTTTGAACGCTAATCGCCATGCCATGCATACTGTTTAAGGGATGAAGCTAAAACTTGAAATTAATTTCAAATAATAAATAAAATACTAGCATAACATTTTACCTGTGTGGAAATGGATGCCCAACATTTTACCTTGAAGATCAGCACTTGCCCATCTATTACATGATTCGCATACTAGCTCATTTACGTTCTTAAAATTAATGTTCACAAAAGAAGAAAAACGCTATAAACCGAATGTGTCCAAGTTAAAATGTTTCCCATTAATCTCTCGGGGAAAAAAAAAAAGAAAAAAAAAAAGAGGATAGGTGTCCGTCCTACTCTGTTTCTGAATCCTCTGCTCCAGAGTCAAATCCAGAGATCGTCATCCGTCCAATGTTAACTAGAACATAAAAATCATCAATAAGAGTTAGGAAAAGTAATTAGAGACAATTTGATCATATCATCAAACAGTGTTAACATCAGTCACTCACGGAACAGGTCCAAAATGAAGACAGTGAAATACATAATTTATCTCATGCCGAGAACTAACGATTTAGCCTGTTTATTATCTCTTGCTTCTGCTAATGCATTCATATGTACCTCACGCAAGCAAAATAGAAGCTATGCGTAAAGCGGTCACCAGTGGATAAAGTTTTCCAAAATATAACTTCAGTAAGAAGTAGTCTTAAACGTCTAGAACATCAAGATTCTGTCATACCATGGTCATTTCAACGAGAGGGAGGGAAAAAATCAGAAAGTGTTTGTGACTTTGTGTGCATGCCATACTTGCATACTTGCATCTAAGCCCACATCAAGTTTCATAAGCGTGGATTACAATATTTTTCTTTTTTAAACATAACTGAATTCTTGTATGAAGTCAAGAAAGCAAACTTTGCCTGGGATTAGATGCATCACATAATCAAATTTAATGTAAACACGAACAGTTTTTTGGGCTAAATGGCCCCACATACCAACAGCATTCAGCCCGGCTAATTTTGGCATGAACCTCCTGATGTGGTCTTCTGCTTCTTTTTCAGCTTTCAGTGTCTGACACTCAAATGTAACCAATATTTTGCTCTTCGCATCCTTTTGTTCGACCATGCCCATGACATCCTCCTCCCAACTGTTGCAATTAAATGCGAACAATAAATGTCAACTATCATCTGTGTCATGGTCATCACAAAGGTGAAAAGCGCAAGTGATAAAAGCACTTCAATTTAAAAGGAGAGATGTACCTGAGATGAAATGAGAGATTAAAATATGAGCTTTTCTAGAGGTAACGTACCCAACTTGTTTAATAAAGAACGCTGATAAACATAAATAAATATGAATAATGTTTAATAATCAATAGGCCCACTCTCTTTGGAGAGAAGAACTTGAAGTTTCACATCGAAAACTAGAAGTAACAAACGCATGGGTGTGTAGAAGTAAATATATGAATTACTTGGTTACTCCCCTCGTTAGGTGGTTTTAACCTTCAACCTTTGGTTTTGACCAAAAACAACCTTCAACCTTCGGTTGAAAAAACAATTAAAACTTACAATGGTTATGACAATACACGCAATTTGCCCTTCAAAAAAAAAAAACTTACGTGTTAATCCCACTAAATACCATGATCTAATTCCAAAGTCATTAGCCTTACCCATGAGCATGGTCAATGTTATGGAAGCGAGCAGCATCGTGGCCTCTGCACTCTACAACAACAGCTCGTTCTTTCTTCCTCTTTTACACCAAAGCATAAAATCAATAAGGCAATGAAGCATAAGCAAAAAAGGATGCGATTAAAAGAGAATTAACCTAAAAGTAATCCAGTTCCTACACTGAAATCTGTAATTGTCAGTTTGATAAGACGATAATCTTCACCCCTACTGCACTCCCTTTCACATGCCAACTCTTTCACCATGAAAAAAAAAAGAATTTTGCCAGGCAAAACATAAGTAATATTACATGAATATGTAAAAAGCTTTTAACAACAAAAGAAGATTTTCATATAAGAATTGGCTAACACATGATTATGAACTAGTAATCAACACAGATAAATCAATCATATATGAGCAGATGCAATGGTGGTTAGCGCCTATCCTCGCAAGCAGCAAGTGACGGCTATAGTCCCCTTGAGGAAAGGCAACTAAAATTTGTGACTGCATAGATAGTTAAACCAAATTATGAAATTGTAAGTTTCTTCTGTAACCATAAGTATTTATAAAAATAAATGGCAATCGCTAAAAGCCCTTGAACTTCGAACTCATCGTCTATGAGAGAATCTCTGAAACAAACATCCACAGCACTGTGAAATAAACACATGATACATGAGTGAATCTTATTCAGAATAATGTTGAATTTTAACCAGGAAGCAATTATTGACCCCATTAATATATGATGGGAGAGAAACTTTCACAGTGAACAGGTCATGCCAAAAACACCGCATTTTCAAACCTAGCTATCCTGCATGATTTATTAGAAGCCTTCTTCTACGTCTTATGAGAATTACCAGAGCCATGAAGACCATAGCAGACAGAATGAGGAAGCTGGATGAAGTGTCCCGAGATGGACCCTTCTGGTAACAATGCTATTGATGCTATTCCTTCCATCATCTCCTCCACCTTCCGACTCCCCGACACCCCCTCTCTCTCGCCTGTAAGAAAATTTTCGAGGGGAAGAAGCGAAAAAAATGTTGAAGAAAAATGTCCGAAGTCTGATTTTTCTACGGTTACGATCCAGTGGCATACAGCGATCAACTCACATATTACAGACGCTCCCAGCACAAAAGGTAGAGGAACATACCCATTATTTCTCCCAAAGATTCAGTTCCTTCTAGGCTTACACCTATTCCTCCTCTTCCTTCTACGAGCAGGTTCGCTTACGGGCGTCGTTCTGCAAAACATCAGCTTCTTTATTCTATGTTCATGCTTCTTGAAAACATATTTTTCTACCTTGATCGAAAAATAGGTCGAAAGTTTACTCAAACTGAGAGCCCTTCAGACTACCATAATTTTTCCGCTAAAACCAATGTCTGATGGATAAAATTTTACTTTAATCTTAAACCATTTTTTTTTTATTTTCATAGGTTTTTATTAAATTTTTTCGGCATTTTCATGATACCCAAAACAAAACCATCCCCTCTCAGAACCATGGCACAACTCCAACCTAAATAGAGTTTGGAAAGCACTTAAAAAATACTATATTTTTACATAAGTTAAAGATAAAATTCCCCTCACAAACTTACTAAAAAAAATCATTTTCAAAAAGCCAATACAAATGCTCTCTAATTCAATTCAATCATGAAAACGGTCTTTCAATCCAAACAAATTCAATCCACAGCGAGTCTGATCAACTGTTCATCTGGTCAGGACTCAGTTCTCTTCTTCTTGATCATGCCTCAGTTCTGTTCTTTATTTACCGTCTCCAAACATAAACCAGTGACTCAACTGTAATTAATTTAACGCAAGATTCACCACAGCACAGCAAGCAATATGATCGTTGCCTGAGATAATTATTTATTGACCTGAATCAGGCAATCCTGGCACTTGTGATATGAGCATTATTACAAGAACAATTATTTGGTTGTTTACTTAGCTTGAGCGAACGAATTCGAGTGGCGACACAGAAAGAATATCTATCCCAATTTTTCACAAGAGACATATGGTGCATTATCATTTATCATCGTATTGGCCACTCAACAACATTAGAAGAATCAATTTAGGATAGACGCAAGCTATACACAGAACAAGACTTCAACCGGTATATGAAAGGTCATGCATTCTCAAAAATTGTGTGAAAAGGCAGTCAGAGAGGCTGGGGGAAGGCTTCCCGGCTGTCATCAGCAGTTGATTCTGGATCAGCTTCAAGTCTTTTAAAGACTAACTTTTGCTGGGGAAGTTGACCATTAGCAAATGCCGTGACTTCTGTGTCTACTAAAATCGAGTCCTCCTCCTTAAATTCTCCTCTCAAGATACCCTTGGCGAGTTCATTCTCCACATGCTGTTGAATCACTCGCTTCACTGGCCTAGCACCGTAATTGGGGTCATACCCCAAACTTCCAAGAAGTTGGACAGCAGCATCTGTCACTTGGATTCTCATCTTGCGATCCCCAATTCTCTTCTGCACACGATCCAACTATAACACGCAAACATACCATGATATGAGCGATTCAAAATGCCACAAGATCAACAAATTTCTTACCGCTAGCTACTAACTACTAGTCAGAGCAGCAGGGACACCACGTATATAATAGCCAAACCTTCCAAGGCATATGGTATAATCTATAAAGCATACTGTTCAACCCAGAAAAATATAGTCAGCATCCTAATTACTTGGCTACCTAAGCTGTCTCTATCAAAGTTTCCATCTTTGCACTGGTTTGTAGTCGACACAAAATTCTACATTGGTTTCTCACAAATACAAGTTCGTCCATGTGGTTCAAATTCTTCAATTCATTTATTTCAAGTTGGGCTGTTGGGTGTTTTTTTTTTTTTTTTGGGAGAAGAGAATAACGTTACCTGTAACCTGACAATGCTGCTGATTTGTTCACGGTCTAGAGGCTGGAAAACAATATATTCATCAACTCTATTCATGAATTCAGGGCGAAAGATGGACCTTGCAGCATCCATTACCCGTTGCTTTATGGTATCATAAGCTAGCTCTTTTGGAGTGTCATCATCGACATTAAGAATATACTGGGATCCTACATTAGATGTCATGATAATAACAGTGTTGGTAAAACTCACTGTTCGGCCCTGTGAGTCAGTCACTCTGCCATCATCCAAAATCTGAAGGAAAACATTAAAAACGTCTGAGTGTGCCTTCTCAATCTCATCGAACAAGATTACTGCATAAGGTCTGCGGCGGACAGTCTCAGTTAGTTGCCCTCCCTCTTCATACCCTACATACCCAGGTGGAGCTCCAATCAATCTTGAAACTGCATGCTTTTCCATATACTCACTCATATCAATTCGTACGAGTGCCTCTTCAGTGTTAAACAAGTAGGAAGCCAGGGCCTTTGCCAGCTCTGTCTTGCCAACGCCAGTAGGTCCCATAAACATGAAACTTGCAATTGGGCGGTGAGGATCTGAAAGGCCTGCTCTCGAACGTTGGATAGCCTCAGCTACAGCCCGAACAGCAGGATCCTGACCCACAACACGCTTATGGAGCTCTTCCTCTAAATGCAATAACTTTTCCCTTTCTGTTTGTTGAAGCTTTGAAACGGGGATACCTGTCCACTTGCTTACAATCTCAGCAATATCACTTCCTGTAACTTCTTCTCTCAGCATAGACTTCCCAGATTTCATATATTCATCTAATTCCTTCTCTGCACTTTCAAGTTGCCGCTGCAAGGAGTTTAGACTGCCATACTTCAGCTCAGCAGCACGATTAAGATCATACTCCCGCTCAGCTTGCTGGATCTCAAGATTTACTCTGTCAATCTGCATATAAAAATGCACAAGTGGTGAACATCTGATCTCCATCTTCTGATTATCATAATGCCATCTTTTGTGAGTAAATTTCTAATTTCACTCATCAAGTATTAAATCAACTACATATGGGATCCAAGTTACTTATGATTCATTAAATAAAAACAAAACAAAAAGCTATTTTCTTGCGATCTTTTAAAATCCCCCCAACAAAACATGTAATTCTTTTATGATTTCTTCATTTGAATTTGAATAAAACAGAAGTAGAACCATTGACCATAATAATCAGAATCACAGCATACCTCTTCCTTAATTGACTGGATACGAGTCATTACAGACTTTTCATGTTCCCACTGCTCAGTCAGCTCAGCTTGTTTCTCTTTTAAGAGAGAGAGCTCAGCCTCAAGACGATTTAGTCTATCTCTAGAAGCTCTGTCAGTATCATTTGTGAGAGAGAGTCTCTCCATCTCCAGTTTCAAGACTGATCGATTGATCTCATCAAGTGCAGTGGGTTTAGAAGTAATTTCCATTTTCAGTTTAGCAGCTGCCTCATCAACCAGATCAATCGCTGCAATTTAATAGCAGAACACAGTTAGTGCTTAAAGAAAATCATTGTTTCTAACCATAAAAGAAAGCAAAAAAAATTAACCAAACAAGGAAAATCAGGACAACACTGATCACAACTATGTCATCAAAATATCACAAGTGCTATAGCTTTAAAGATAAATTACAAATCAGTTTCAGCTGATGCTCAATTACTTCCACCTCAAAGATGACATCCTATTCTCTTAGGAGCATTCCAATGATTTTGGGATCAACTGCAACTGGATTCTTTTTAACATAACCTTAACTATCATCCATTAGTCCTTAACTAAATCAATGCGTCTACATTTCCAAAAAACGAGCTTAAGGCAGACAGAAGATGTTCTTGATTAGAAATCACACTGCTTCCTCATATTGGTTGCAAGATTACAAGTCAAAAGTTCTCAGTATCACGCATGCATGCCTGAATCATCTAGAAGCAAATCATCTTCTATGATATTGCCACAATTATTATTACCTTTGTCAGGCAAAAATCGCCCACTGATGTAACGATCTGAAAGAATTGCAGCTTCTACAAGTGCACTGTCAGAAATGCGAACTCCATGATGCAACTCATATCTTTCCCGCAGTCCTCTTAGTATAGAAACGGTATCTTCTACAGAAGGTTGATCGACATAAACTTGCTGGAAACGACGCTCTAGTGCTGGGTCCTTCTCTATATATTTCCGGTACTCATCCAATGTTGTTGCACCGATACATCGCAACTCACCTCGACCAAGCATAGGCTTTAAGAGATTACCAGCATCCATAGCACCATTCGTAGCACCTAAATATAAGAGAGATTATTGTCACAATCAGATATAACATCCACACTTCACTTTAAATTCAACATTTTCAGGCAAATATGTTGCCAGCTACTTTAAGGTGGCAAAAGATATCCATCAAACTATATCATCTTATTCTATAAACAAATCATCCTCTATAAGCAAACTGGCCAATGTTTTTGTATCATGGGAGAGAGTGTAGAAAAGAAACAGAGTAACTGCACAGAAACTGTAGAACCTTTAACTAGAGTTTAGAATACTAGAAGATCATTTGCCTAAAAATGGATAGCCTTTGAAGCTTATTACCTGCCCCAACAACTGTATGAATCTCATCAATGAAAAGGATGGTCTGGCCTTCAGATTCTGTCACTTCTTTAAGAACAGCTTTCAATCTATCCTCAAATTCTCCACGATACTTTGCTCCAGCAATAAGCGCACCCATGTCAAGAGATATAAGCTGTAAAGCAACAAGCAAGCCAGATCAGTTCCCTGGCATTGAGCTGACACATACCCCAAAAAGTTTTTTCCTCTGTGAGCCCATTCTTGCCCTTTTTTCCTTCCATATTCAGCCGCCTAAGTGCTCCCTAAATATGAATAAAGAACATACCCTACGATTCATTAAAGCTTGAGGAACATCTCCCTGAACAATTCTCTGTGCAAGTCTGTTTAATAGGAAGAGTAGGGTTAGTATGCAAAGGCATAGTAATGAATAGGAATGAAATGAAACAATTAAGGTGCAAGCAAGATCAAATTATTTGTTGATTTCATCAGCTATTTTCCCTTGGAAACTTATGAAATAGCATCACATATTAAGAATAAACACGTTGTTGAATTACTACTCTGCCATTAGAAAATTTGCAGAATACATTACACAAGGAATTAGGGCCCACAGATGTTGCTAGCAACAAGCCGAATTCAGCACAAGAATATATTTTAAATAGAATCAAAGTTCAAAAATAATAAACCAAGGCTGGGACAAAGACCTTAGTGCTTACCCTTCAGAAATTGCAGTCTTTCCAACACCAGGCTCACCAATTAGCACAGGATTATTCTTTGTTCTTCTAGAAAGAATCTGAATGCACCTACGTATTTCATCATCTCTTCCTATGACTGGATCAAGTTTGCCCGCTTTAGCCATTGCTGTCAAGTCCTTCCCATATTTTTCCAAGGCTTCATACTTCCCTTCAGGATCTACAATATGTAGAACATAAAGTTCAGCTACTAACAATCATAACCAAGTCAAGGGCAACCTGAAACCACTGGTCTACAACAATCTAGAAGTAGCAAGATCTTTAAGCCCTTAATGGACCATAAGCTACTCTAACTTATTCTACCCAAGATGGAGGGGGAAAAAGAAGACGGCACAGGTAACTGTATATTAAAAAAAAAAAAAAAACCATACAATTAGAGATGTCATTACCCTGGTCAATAACTGACTGACGTCCACGAATGGACTCTATCGCAGATTTTAGAGCTTGCAGAGATATTTGAAAATCTCTAAACAGCTGCTTTCCAAATCGTTGATCTTGTGCGAAACCAAGAACCAAGTGTTCAACTGACACAAATGAATCTCCATATTCTTTCTTGTAATCCCTGGATCTCTGAATCAATGCTTCCAAATCACGCCCTAACATTGAACCAGCTGATTCCCCCAGAACCTGGCATGATCAAACATGAGCAAAACATCAGTTAGTCATGAGTCATTTTTAATCAGTCATATTGATATCATTTCCTTTTCAAGCTTCATTTTGATCAACACCTTTTCAATTTCATCCACCGTAGTTAGGAACAAGGGAACCGCAATGGCTCCAAAAAGGATTCCAGTAGAAAAAGAATTACACCTTAAACTAACACTGAAAAAATTCCAAGCTAGTTAGAACAGATTAATCACCTTGGGTTGCCGTTGGATGTACTTATCAGTGGCCTCTAGTAACCGGGTATTATCAACCCCAACCTTGGAAAAGATCCGGCGAGCGAGCCCATTCTTCTGCTCCAACAAAGCTTTCATCAAGTGCTCCGTTTCCACAATCTGATGCTTATTCTCTTTCGCAACTTCCGGCGATGAAACAATCGCTTGCCACGCCATTTCTGTGAACTCTTGTTGCGTAATCTGCTATTCCATCAAGATTCAGCATCAAGCACTCGACGTGCAAAGAACCAGACTAAACCAACTATCAAATATATTAAACTGCTAATTATTTAGAGCGAGCTTGACATTAAAGTAAGATTGAATTTCCACAGAACGTTTTACTAGTTGTCATGATCACTATCGAAGCTAGAAAAGAAATCAAAGTAATGCGCAGAATCCACGTTACCCTTCCACTTGAAGAAGCTTCACAGCGGACAGAGAAACGTTTACAATTTCTGCGAATTCTCGGAAAACCATTGGTCCAAGAAGCCGTTCTATTCAATGGCAGGGATTTTAAGGCTTTAAGAGATGCGGATTTCGACTTCGAAGGAAAACTTAGGAAGAGCTGTGGCTGAGCAAATCGAGCATCGTTTCTGTTGCAGCAAATTGGAACCGAATGAGGAGCGCTAAGCCCAGAAAACGCCGTCGTAGAGGCCATGACTAGACGCCAGAAACTCCGGTGAGCTTATCCGGTTAACAATTAGGAAACGAACGAGGACAAGAACCAAAGAAGGTTTGCGTGGAAGTGGAGTAAAGGCTAAAAATAAAAAGAGTTGAGTGATTGTGGACTGTGGAGGATTCGAGCGAGTTCGAAGAGGCAGTGGAAACCTCCACAAATTGTTTGGGCACGCCCAATGCGCAATGTGCCGCCTCCACCACCTTCATACACGTGGGCCGGTTTAGATACACGGCAGGCGCCTCGACATTGGCTTCACCTGGCAGCAAATAAAAGGAAATCACAAAAAAAAGAGAGAGAAATCCTCGTTTTTATTTTTATTTTTCATGATATGGCATTCTCCGCATACGTGTGCGCGCGCGTTTTCCGTTGTTGATAATTTATAGGATTAGTTGTTTTTTTTCTTGGCAGGGATTTTTTATAATGCTTTAGTCCAATGTTTTTCCTAGAGCTTAGGCCACATGACCAACAAATTGACAAGTGAAATCTAATAAAATGACAAGTTTGTTTAAGATTTTAACAAGTCCATTTAGATATTGTAAATTATTGTCACATGCATATTCAAACATTTCATTTTGCAACTACGCTTCCACATTAACAAATAAAAGTTTTAGATTTTTAACGTTTCTTTTGCATGTTCAAGCTCGTCATGACAATGATTAAGGGACTTTGTTAGTCTAGTGACTATTATTTTTCGGGTGAGGTGGTGGAGGGAGCTTTCTTTTTCAAAAATAAAACAAAGGACGTTTTAGTCATTATCTCTTAATTCCAATTTAGTGCTTTTACCCTGCAATGTAATTTCAAATTTGTTTGATCCTGGTTTCAAATTAATTTGCTTCTGCGGGAAATCCATTGAGATTCCCCCTTTTTGCTATCAATACAGCGCACACTTCTGCAACCGTTCCTATTCTCTTTTATATTCTCATTCCCACTCCCTTCTTTGTTCCCACTCCATCAAAATCTGCCCATCAAACGCGGCCTAATGGATGGCCTTCAAATTCCACCTCTCCGCGCTTAATCTTTCTCGGGACTAAAAGGTCGAAAGTGATCATTCCGATGGCTTTTCATCCATAACACATATAAGAAGGGGAGAAAATTCTGCACATTTCCAATGTGTGGTAATAGTACAAAACGAATACCAATACTAACAGTTTCGAAATTCAATGCATTTGTGCCAAGGCAATCTCAAGAACTACGCCTACAATTTATCATATCATCATATCAAAATTTAAAAGGATGGGGTATAAAATGTGGTACTAATAAAAATTAAACAACTAAAAAATCAAGGGGAAATCGCTGTACTAGTGGCGGAATTTCGTAGCCTAATAACTGTCTCAGTTCTGATCCTTGCCCCAACTAATATGATGACTTGGAGCGTATCTTTCATCTGCAGCGTTCAGTTTATTTTCTGTGAAGTTCTTCACTAAGCAATCCTTAATACAGGCGCCCCCAGTGAAGACCAAAACTATTTCATCCTTTCATCAAGCAAAAATATAGGTTCAATTTTTTTGTCACAAGACTGAAAAGTGATTCTCAGGGCCATTCCAGGATGATAAAATTTGCAAAAATATAGGGGATGGCAGCAAATCCACCCACAATTTTATATCGTTTTGCCATTTCAACCAAACCTTTGACTTCCCAAATTCATCTTGAAGAAAAGCTCAAGCCAGAAAAATTTAGATGAAACCTTTTTAACTTGTCTCTTCGGTGTCTGCCGTTGTTCACACCAACGCTCTTCTCGTAAACTGACTATGGTTCCAGGATATGACAATTCCTGACAAAATCAGTAGAATAATTGACATACTTGGTCCAAAATGGCCGGAGATGTTCAAAGCCAATTTCCAACCAGGGTTTCGACTGCCCATTGTAGTGGATAACTGCAGCCTTCTTTACACTCTCAATATTTGTTTTATTCTGATATCCCAAGCCAAGCATGTGCCAGGAGGGATCAATTGGGTGAACGTGACCTTTAAATGCAATTAAAGCAGGCGGTAAGGTCCCAAGCTTCCACATGGTCAGGTTAGACTTCAGATTCTGCAACAGAGGAGTCACCAATATTATCCTCTTTCAGGAAGGGGAAAAAATAGGACATAAAACTAGATAGAAAACCTATGTCCACGCGTCTTCCTACACCACTGCCTCATAAATTAATATGTGAAAATGTTTTAGCCACTCAATCCGTTCTTTTAAAATAGCACTACATTAGCAAGCAAGATAAATTTACTCAGCAATTAAAAAATTAGCATATTGTCAATTATATTCTACTTGGATTTTTACCTCTTTAAGCCAGGAATGGTATGTCTCTTTTATGTCTGTTTTTCTCCATGCGCGCAGATCAAAGATATTCATGCCGTAAGCCCATGCACACTCATTGGGGTCCAAATGCTTTGCAATAAGGGGGTGGGAAAAATTAAAGTAATTTCTAAAACGCTTAGACATAACCCATTCATCTTCACCTCTGCAGGTTTCAACAGCTCCGTTAACTTTTCCTTCTAGATCAATTTCCCAAAGTTGAGACAAGTCACGCTGAATTACCACATCATCATCTAGAAAGACGACCTTGTCAAGGTTTGGGAAAAGCTGTTTGGCACACAAGGAAATTAATCAGCAAAAATAGTTTCAACACCACCAACCACCCGCCCCCAGGGGGGCTAAAATCACTCAGCCACTTCATGGCTTGCCAGAGGGAACAATTTTTTCTCCGTTATATTCTGTAAACATAACGTATAGATTTGATATAAACCAATCTCTGTAAGCTAGTAACACCTTATGACATATTTTTACTACATTTCTTATCTGCTCAAGTACTATGATATGAGAGAAATTCTTTTCAATACCCTAAACTTATATCTGCCACAAAAATTTCAGTTCAATAAAACTTTGATAGCCCTGTGAAGCACCATTTTGTCGAAATATAATCATCTTATGATAACCCAGAATATTTGTCACGTTCTAAGGTTGATTGTTTTACTCCTTTTAGACTCCTTCCCATAAATATTAGATTCACGAATGAGAAGAGGAAGGAGACAAAAAGATAGAGGCAGAAGTAACTTGTCTACAAGAAAATCCTAGATGAGGAGTTGACAAATCTAACTTGCCTCTGGTAAGTATATTCGGAGATGGTTGAGTAATGATATGTACTTTGGACTTCGAGACATCAATTTTGAAGCAAAAGTGCGTGGAGTTGTATCACTGAGATTGGCTCCTGCAACATGATTCCCATGGTAGTAATTTCTGATCCCATTTTGATTTTCCACAGCTTCAAGTACTGGAACATTTTCTCTAGTTAACCAGTCAAACTGGTGAATACCTTTGACTTCAACTATAGCAGGGTAGGCAGGATTAAGTGCAAACCATGAGTGCATGCCTGCATAAGTTTTCTTATCTGTGATGACATGGAAGACTATCTTGTCAGGGTTCAACGATGACTGGACAGTGGAAGTAACAACTACTGAGGCAGCTAAAATGTTATCGGTTGACACAATAAAATGGTGGTAGGAGTTGTCAGACAGTAGAGGAAGTAACTCTGGAGGTGGAAGTTGTTTGCGTGCATGAGCATTTGAGGAATATTCATCAGTCAAACGCAATGATAGACAATGAATCCCTTTAGGGATTGAACTTGCTGCAATGTGCTTGTTCATTAACTCTGCAAACTTGGACTCTCTGATATCTCTTTCAAATTTCTCCATCTGCATAAAGAAGCATCACATCATAACAAAGATAAACAAATACACCATTTTTTACACAAAATATTGCTTGGGATGAGCAAATGTAATCAAGACGTGAAGGCATGCATATGCATCCTCACTACCCACATTATGAAGTAAATATCTCTTCAAAAACTAAGAGAGACTATAACAAGAAAGGGAGTTGGACATGGGGAAAAAATACCATAAAGTAATGTGCTGCTCTCAAAATGAAGCCAGAAAGGAGCAATCAAATCTTTTATATTATACAGTATGTCCAAAGTTATTCTTGCCGTACTAGGTCATTAGACAAAGCATTGAACTAAATGGTCTTAGAACAATTTGGCCTAAAGGCCACAATTTGAGAAAATTGGGATTCTCCAAAGGTATCAGAGAAGAAATTTCTATAATCAGGTGATAACAGTCATAAGCAACTACCCAAAGTAGTTCTCCGAGAGCAGAAGACTATGGCCTTTAGACCCTTTGCATTCACGCGTTCACATATTCGGAGAGAATGTCACAATAAAATGTTATGTATGAGGCCCTCATCTCATATAACATTAGTCCACTTATCTCTCTCTATCTCCTTCTGAATGCGCCTTCTACAATCCATTTTGTGAATGAAGAAGATCTGGGCCAAAGAATAAGTTGCTATACTTGTGCAAGAAGTAGTAGGATGAAGAATTAAAGACAAGTGGAACCACAAACTGCTAAAAGCAATTACTTTAACAAATACAAAAGATATGAATGGTTATTAAATAATCATAAAAAAGCATGTGATGTCGGATTCCACGTCATATATTAAAACACAGTTCAGTTTTCAACAAATTAGACTACAAGAACGCAACATATTCTCAAACTCCTAACAGATATAATAAACACATGACAATGATTTATCAGTGATGGGCACGTAAAACAAATTGAAGGTGAAGATAACGGTGAGGGTAATTTAATACTGACAATGTATTCTACTAATAAATAGATGTTTAGGGTTAAGTAGCTGTGCTGATTACACTGATGAAATGGAAAGATGCTTCAAACCAACATACAACATGGAAGAAAAGAATACAAACCATAAAAAACATAGAACTGAGCGCACTCACATGTTGGAGGAAAATGAGAAAACTATCTACTAGCTTTATAAGAACTATATTAAAAATATATCAGACAAGATTACATAACCATGTCTTGAACCAAAACATGTGGGGTCAGCCATATAAACAAGTATCAAGTAAAACCGAACAGACAAAAGCTCCAAGATGTGCAACATACGAATAATTACAAAAATAATTAATTTAAGGCAAGAATATTTCATCTCTAACATCTCTAATCGCAAAAAAATTATAATTTTCGTAGCTACCTCCCTGTATTAGAGTCCATCATCAATTGAGTTGTTATTGAGGAAAGCAAATATACACTATAATTTCCATGCCAAAGGTATATAATAACCACAGATTTCATGATGCAAACACCATAATAAGCATCTTTCAGTTGGAAAGCAGAAACTTCGGCTTTTTAAGTCTTTTTTTCCCTTAAAATTACTATCAGGAGGGATCCACGTTAAGTTTGACCAGGTCATTAAGCACTTACAGCATCCTTGTAAGTAATTAAACAATGTTCCAAGGTGTACATAAGGAAAAATCCGCACAAACACCCAACACAGCTAAGCCTTGAGACTAAACAGTGGGCTTCCGTCACATATAATAAACTAACGCTTAGAATAGTTTCCATTTTCTCTTCATAATTCTTGGCTGCTGATAAGGGAGACAAACAGTCAAACCCCACATCATACAATGATGCAGATAGATGGCCTTACAACGTAACAAAATTAAAACAGTGCTCATAGAAATCATAGTATCAAAAATGCAACCCAACTTAGACAATAACAGTGAAATCCTTTGCAAGTTCTCAAATTTCATTCATTAATAAAAGTATAAAACAATCTCAAAACTAATTTTGAATATACTATCTGAAACCTGATGTGTTGTTCATGCAAACGACAGCTGACTTCAGTTTCAGACAATGATTTCCCTTCTCAACCTCAATTAACTAAGAAGCGAATAATACTTCAAATAAATCTCACAAGCAACTTACCATTCCTCTTAACAAAAATGCAAATGTCTTAGCATCATATTGATTGTTCTTCACATCAGAAACCAGTTGTTCAAAGGAATCTGGCAGCTTTAGACCATCTGGAATTTCCCCACTCCTGACTTCCTTAAGGATCTTGTAAAAATCTCTAACCAATTTCTCCTGCACCATAATTATAACCATAAGGGTTCAAATAAAAACTATTCATCCAAAAATTTTGCCTGAAATCTACTTGAAGCTGACAGAAAAATGAAACAAGCAATATTTACCCCTGAGTCATCAACCCTACCAAGAAGCCTGGGTCCTAACCGCCTGCCCAAACAGCCTAGAGCACAAAAATAAATAAGGTGAAAAAAAGAAGTCAAGGATCTAAAAAGAATCAAGGCATGAAAGAAACAATGAAGTTTAAGAATCTAATGTAACTAACATACAGAAAGCAGCCTGCAACTAGATAAATTTAAAAAGTGATAAAATCAGATAAAGCAAAAATTGTATTAACTGACTCATAGCAGTAGAAGCCATCTGTTATTAACCAGGGACCTTAAAAAACAACATTTATTACCCCAAGAATTAATTAACTAATGATAAATGAAGATAGTTTCAATTATAAAGCACATTGATTTGTAACATGAAATAGTGAACAGCGAGCTAAGCAAAGCAGTGCTTGTTTCCATGAGATAGGAACATCTTGATAACTAATTTTGAGTTCAAGCGCAATAAAATTATGCAAATTAAGCAGCTAAACAATCCAGGAACTTCCTGATATGAATATTCTTGCTAGGAATAAAACTTCTATTATGAAATTTAAGTATGCAAACGAAATCACGTAAATTGCCAAAATATATATATCAATGTAAATTTATAATTCCTCTAAATTCAGGGCTTGCATTTGTCAAAAGCAGGGTGGGGAAAAAGAAAAGAAGATCAGAGAAGCGTGAACATGACACACTATTAACCCAATGTTGAAGCCAAGATCTATGTCAAACAAATCAATGGACCGACTGGTAGTATCAACAGGATCAAAACACTAAGAAATTAAAGGTCAAAATGGTAAGTTTATATTAGAGTACCAAATGAGGAGCACTTGTTGACACCTTCAAGGGTAACAACTGCAGTGAGAATGAAAACAAATGGCAACAAGAACGCAAGGATGAGGATGGTGTGGAAGAGGGTTCGATAAGAAATGTGGCGAGCTGCGACCTTGACCTTCATCAAGTCAATAAAGCCATTGTTGCTCGATATCGTGATGCTTCGCATGCTAGGCGAGAAGCGAAGCTGCATCGTCGTGTACGCAGCTCCGGTCGTTGCCGTCCACAACAACCCTAGCAGAGTCGCCGCAACTTACTATATCTATCGACAGCCATAGCATCAATACACACACCATCAGATCCAATTCCACATGCCCCAATAAACCACCGGCAATGCCCCTGCGATAGAGTCCGGGATTGCAAGTAAAATTTAGATCTATTAATCCGAGTTCTGCTCAAATCTGTGCCTTTCTGTGGCCTTCTGGAAGACCGCATTGGGCGTTTAGCAAACCAGTTTCACAGAATCAATCAAACACTTCCAATTTCTGGGTTACAATGGAGTTCCTCTCCCATAGATCAAGCGGGGGAAGCGCAGAGAGGATCAGGAGCGGGCAGTCGGGGGGGAGAGAGAGAGAGAGAAGAAAGTCGAGCCCGTTGTTGTTGGTTGTTTGTGTAGTAGTAATAATCTTCCGTGGTTTATGCGGAACTTTCTAATTGGTCCAATCTATAATTTCCTTTTCCCGGAAAATCATAAAATAAATAATAATAATAATAATAATCCTTCAAAGGGTCAAAAGAAAAGCGTGCAGGTTACATGTTAGAGAGGAAAATGCAGCCCCATGGAGAGAGGCAATGTGTGTTTGATCTCGAGGTTAGGAAGGAGGGAGGCGATTTTGGGGCTAAATTTACTAATTTAGGGGGCTTCCTATGTTTATGGGCAAGTCTTAAAAGCAGCATGTGGATAAAATCAAGTTGCGGTTAATTTTAGTTTAACTCTTTTTATCTTTTGTGATTTGTGATTTGTGATTAGTGTGAGGCTGAGTAACAAGTGGGGAGAGGCAAATTGGCAAGATGTGAGGGATGAAAAGATAGAGTGCTATTTTTAAAATAAATACTCTTAAATAGTGACTATAGAAGGTCTTCGTTTTTTTTTTTTTTTGGTTACACAACTATAGAAGGATATTGTTCATGGCAATGTGAAACTGGTGATACACAGGCCACGCCTGCAACCAGGGAATGGTAGTATTTAAGCCGATCAAACTATACCATAAAAAATATTGTGGGCTTGATTAGCTTGAGTCCTAAAATTGGTACGAGTGTTAAAACAAATTTTATCTGATGATACAAGATATCGATTCTCTTTCTGGTATTTTGAAGTCATCTTATTAGTGCTTTCTATGGGCTGAGAACAAAAATCTCATTATACCTTAAACCAGCATAAGATTGCTCCTACAAATTGTCACTAAATTATATTACCTCCCATCATAATTATAAGAGCTAGTTGATTAATTTGAAAAGATTAAAAAAATAAGTTAAGTTAGTTATTTGTAATAAATAGGTGTTGTTTTTCCTAAAATATTCTTGCCAATCAAGTGTGTTGGTTAGAACTCTCATTATTAGAAGGACTATCTTAGAAAAAAATATAAATATTAGAGACAAAATGAATTTGGATATTATATTTATGATTAAAATAAAAGCCAAACAAAACTTATATTAAGTACTAGAGATAGTATCTTATTAAAGTTGAGGAGCCTCTCAACTATTTCCTAGTCTATTGATATTGTTTTTTAAGTATTGTTATTTACATGGTTTAGTAATCTATTTATTAAAATATTAATTGATTCTGAAACAACATATAGCTGATAAGTAAATAACAAGGTGATAAAATACCTTTAGGTTAACAGATATCAAATATCGTAGGACGAGTAAAAGTTTTGAGTTTGAGTCTTCTTGATGCATAGAAAACAATTAAAACATGATTCATCTTGTAAATATTTAGGTTGAATCGTTATGTATGAACCCAGGTAAAAGTGCATTCCATGGGACCGTTCTCCTTTTTATTAGGGTTTTCATAAACACTCTCGGGTCAAAATGATTGCATTTTGCATACAGATCAATCAAGGCAGTTTCCAGTTCTGCAATGACCTCCGTTAGTTTATGCCTTATCACCCTTATGCATGCAAAACTTGTCAGGGGTTAAGGGAAATTAAACTGGCACAATCTGATATAAAGAGAAGCAAGCTATGCTCACTCTAAATCGGGTTTCGCTCCTTCACGTTGCAACATATGGAACAAAGCATCAGAGAACTTCTCGAATCACCATTCATATCGTAACCGTTGATCAAGCTCGCCCAATTCAACCACCACATCGTTCTCATTCATCCTATTCGCTAATGGATGAATCCCTCTTGCCAACTCCACAATCCACATTTTCTTATTATGTGTCGAAGCTGTTGGTTATTTACCACCATGTGGGAAAGTGCCTAAGCCCTGTCTTTAGTATAAAAATTATTTTGACTTTCAATCTCCTAAATATAAGACCTCAATTTATCTTGTCTTTATGCTACTCTTAATTCTTAATGTAAGATCTCGTTTGACTTTTATTTTAGTTCTAAATATAAAACTCAATCCACTTTGTCTCTCATATTTATGCATTTTTTTCCAAAATAGTCTGTCTAATAATAGTAGTTTTAGCTAATACACTTGATTAACAAAGATATTTTTAGAAAGACAATACCTATTTATTACAAATAACTAACTTAACTTATTTCTTAATCTTTTCAAATTAGTTAACTAGCTCTTATAATTAGATTGGAAGTAGTATTTATCTGTATTTTTTTCAAAATACTCCTTATAGTAATTTCACAATTTAAAAATTTTATCAAATTGTAGTCATAACTAATACACATAATTAATAGAAAAGACAACACCTATTAATTATAATTAACTTATTTAATAAACTTTTTTAGTTTACCTAAATTAGTAAACTAATATTTATATTAAGTAGCAGGAGTAGTAGAAGATAAAAGGCATGATACTTCTTCTTCCTCGGTGCGGCGGTGCCCATTAGCAGCAAACACGATTGTCCGAGACAAATTCACGACACACGATTAATTCATGTCAGGAGTTATCTTGACACTCGCCTAGCAAATGTGAATAGTGTTTATTTCTTCTCTTCTAACTAGTCCATGGGAGCGAACAATGTTCAGTGGAATTGACACACCAAGAAATTTGCACCATTACGCAATCATTCAACGAGAACAAATGACTTTGCTTAAAAGAACAAGAGGAGAGTTCGAGTAACAAGTCAAGAGTTTAAATGATACAGTCAAAATCGATTTGCAGAACCATGATTCATTAGAGAAGGAAGGGAGCCCGATCAATCTGAAATCCAAACAAATACAGCTTACAATCCAATTGTGCAAACACAATCAAAAGTCAATCGACTGCTACAAAATTACAGACAGAAACCGGCGGTCTTTCAAGTCAAAATTCTTACACCCTTGCTCTTCGTCAAATCACCTCTAGTTTCCATCTTCAAAGGCAATGGCGCAGTAAATATGACCTTCCCTTCATTTTTACAATCATTCTTGAGATGCCTTTTGGAGCTTTTTTCGCCATCACTGCTCTGTGCCGATCCTCCATTGTCCAGTATGGCTTCCTCATCAACTTCAGCACCACGAGAAGAATCCAGAACATCTTCCACTTCACTTCTAATATTCTCCAAAATCTCTTCCTGTTCATCGCTAGACGAACTTCCATCCAAACAAGTCGCATCTTCACTTAAAGCCGGTTCACAAGTGTTGCTGTAGATCTTAGAAACACTTCCACTCTCTGCAAAGCTCACGCTTTTCTTCGTTCTAGGTTGACGTTGAATCTCTTGCCTTTGAACAAAAACCCCATTGTTAGTTGGGGATGCTCCCGTTCTCCTTCTGATTACTATACTGGGATCATCATCATCATCATCATCATCGTCGTGTCATCGATTATATGAAGACTGCCCTCAGATTTTACGTCCCCCTCCTCCTTTGCGGAAAGCTTACATAATCGGCTAATCCTGTCCACTCTTCCCCTAAGGTTCTCCAACAGTCTCCTCTGATCACGACCTAAAACCCCATGTTTAGAGTTTAAAACTCTGGATTTGTCCAAGTTTTGACCAAACCTCGCATTCTTCGTTGCTTTGACTAAACGCAAATGCTTTTTCACAGCAACCCCTTCAATGGAGTCCAAAAAGTGTCCTAAATCTCTGCTAATGGACCCCTTCCCATCCCTGACCATCGGATCGCAGCACTGGAAACATCACAGAAAAATGTTGGAAAAAGAAAAACGGAAATTAAAAAAAAAAAAAAGGAAGAGCAAAGATTAAAAAAGCTTCTAGCGACTAGATTACTTCGATAGAATCAAGCTGGAGAAGCAAATCCATGACCTCGCGGGAAAGAGCTGCATAATCAACGTGGGCGGCATTGGAAAGCAACGATTTCAGAGCATTAAATCTCGACTTGATACACCCGAGCTCCTTAAGCTGCCTGAGGGTTCTCGATCTGCGAACAAGGAAGGCGCGGAAGTGGGTTTGAATGACACGAGCTGCCGTGTCCCGAAGGGAATAATTCAAAGACGGACGACAGCCATGCGAAGAAGAAGAAGAAAAATAGTGCAGAGAAGATTCAAGGGCTTCAATTCGGCAGAGAAGGGAGGCGATAGCGGAAGGGGACTGTTGTTCGTGTTGACGCAGGCGATTTTTAGAGGAATATTTATGGTATTTGTTCTGATTAAGAAACCTGTAGGCCTCGGATTGGTCGCATTGAGTGTAAAGATTTGGTGGAACAGGATCAAACTGACCAAGAAGTGAAGCAATGGCTTGGAGCAACTGGTCCGTTGATGGTGGGGGTGAAGGGCAGCTATAGGGAGGATGGTTACAGTAGCAGTGGGCGGAGGCGGTCGGGAGAGGCGGAGGTTGTTGGTGGCAGGGATGGGAAGGGTGGTTTGGGCAGTAAGAGGCCATTCAGTGTGGCGTCGGAACCCTCGGGACTCGAAGATCACGGGACGATTGGCGAAGAGAGCAAAGGAGGGGAATTTTGGGGTGGGGCTGGTTCAGTGAGTGCGGGTCCACTGATTCCAAGCGAAAATAGTCGTCGACGACACGTCGGATCCGATGGGCGATGTAAAAGTCGGAGTCCGCTTTATGGAACGACAGCATCATAAGGAGGCCTGCTACGTTCACGTGACTTCAAGGATCACTGATAAATGCTAGTCTCATCTAGCTTTTTTTAATATTAAAATTTCATTGAAAATTTTAAACATAAAATTAATTAATTTTATTTTTTATATTTATATATTTTTTATGATAATCTCTTTAATAATAATAGTTTTAACTTCTAACTAATACATTTAATTAATAAGAATATTTTAAAAAAGATAACAGATATTTATTATAACTAACTAATTTAAATTATTTTTTAAATATATTTAAATTAATCAACTAATTTTTATATTTAAAATAAAAAATAATATAATATAAACAAGAAAAATTTACAATGAAGTGCCACATGAGAATTCTAATTCTGAAAATGTCCCCCGAAAGCTCTCAAGATTGCGGAGCTTGGCATGTGGGGGAATGAATATGTGACGTGTGTGCTCAGCAGATGATGATATGGCCATGACGTGGCAGTGGAGCCTGAGTTGATGGGGCGCAGGTACCCTATAATTGATGCGCAGTGATAAACACATAAAAAACACAGATAAAGTGATACATATGAAATGGGCTTCCTTGCAGCATAATCACACAGATGAAGCGCCACAAAGCCCAAGAACAAACAGGAGGCAGCAGAAGAAGAATAAACAAACAAGGAAACCAAACCACAGATACAACAATAACGATGCTTCTTCGATAATTTTAATGCTATTATGATTTATGAGTTGTAAGTGACGACTGTATAAAATGCTTACTAATTGGAACAAGAGTAGGATTCATTCGTATCCCATGCTGACAAGAACCGGTTGATCCTAGTTTCATTGGAAGTTTGGAACCATGCAGGGGAAATAAAAATGTTCAGAGCCTTCTCTTTCATTCAATGCACTAATGCAGCAAGAAGATTATCAATAATTTCTCTCCAAGACTTACTATAAACCAAAATTGGCCGTGGCACCTCGACTGGTAATTGCTACCCCTAATCATTAATATAATATATAGTTAACTAATCCGAAAAGATTTAAAAAATTACTAAATTATTTAATTATAGCATATATTACATTACGCCTCTAAAATACTTACACAAATTGTTGGATTATATATTGATTTATTTTTTGGAAAATATTACATATCAATTTATAAACGAGACAAATTAATTTTTTAAAAATGATAAATATAGACAATTTAAAGCAATTTAGTACCTTTTTAAATTTTTCCAAATTAATTAAATAAGTTTTATATAAAGAATTATTAAGAATCGGTGTAATTCACATAATGCAAGTCATGAGAATTACTAGAAACCAAATATGGGGTGGTCCTATTTTTTTTAAAACATGTGATTTGGCTGTCAGGTTTTAAAAAAAAATACTGGAGGGTCCATAAAACCCTTGACATTAGGTCATGCAACTGGCAGCTACGGACATTATTGACCCTGCACAATGCTACGTGTTATAATCTAACATGAGAGCGCAATTAAATTTTTATTTGTAATCTTTTACAGGACAAAAAGTATTAACTAATTAACTAATTTGAATAAATTTAAAAATTAGTTAAATTAATTATTTGTAATAAATAAGTGTTTTTTTTCTAAAATATTTTTACTAATTAAGTGTTATGTAATAAAATATTTAACATGTACAAATACTATAAGAACTATCTTAAAAAAATATGAAAATAAAAAAATTAGAATCTTATATTAGATTAAATTAAAAATTAAATTAATTTTATATGAAGCAAATTTGCATTTCTAACTTTTGCATGGATTTCGGCACAAAAAAAAAAAAACTTTTGCATGGATGGATTAATTTGTTGTAATTTTTTATACTTTCCGGACTTTTTTAACGGCTAATAGAAGAACATCAACCTGGTCCCAGCTCCCGCCGCGTAATATAAGTATGGAGGGCGGGGATTTCCTTCCGTTTTGCAATAATTAAAGGCCTGGACAACTGAATTTGAAGGGGGCGCGCGACGCGACAGAGACTCCAACGGTGCTGCTCAGATACAGCCAAAGCTAGTGCATAAAATATCCCTTTTATCATTTATCATTATTTTATCTTTATGTTCTTCTGGAACATCAAATATCTTTCGATGGTGAGGCCGGAGACTTTTTATTTTTTTGATTCCCTACCTAGTTTACCAGAATTTTGCTTCGATTTGTCGTGCATAACTCGGCAAATTTTAGAGTTTAGACTATATATGCAACAACTCTTTTGCTAATACTTAACCATTATGAGAAAATTGTCAAACAATACGTATTTCGCTGCCCATGTCAACGGCCAATACTTGTGATGTTTTTTTTTGAGCAAAACAGTCAATTTATTAATACCAAAACAAAGAGATACAAACACCAATAGCCAATAAGACCAAAAAAGAAAAAACACTCACAAAGAGCCTAAACATACAACCTAAAAACACACCAAAAAGACAGAAAAAAAATCTAACAGAAGGCCTAAAGCAGGAAAAGACAAAGCAACAGTTTAAGGATAAGGCCGACTAGCCAATTCCTGTCATGATCTCAGAAGCAACAAAGGAATCAGTAAGATCCAGCTGCAAAAAATGCCAAAGAGAGGATGGTGGCTTAGATAGCCATCCGTGAGGTACCATTCCTCTCATAACATTAGCTGCTAAGCAATCCGCAGCTTTGTTCCCCAATCTGGAAACCAAGGCTAGATCCCAGTTCTTCAATACTTGTGATTTTAGATCCCGTCTTTACAAAGTATTAAAAATAAAGAAAAAATTATGACTGAGATTAAAAAAATATGTTAAAATAGTGTTTAGGATGACTAATTAATTATTATTTGAAATTAAACAAACTCATATATAAAATTAGGAAATACGATAGAAGGCGATGATATTCCTCAATCTCACATAATCTCAAATAATAAAAAATTACTCATATTAAATACTATTTAATGCTTTTTTTAATTCCAGTTATAATTATCATCTCTCATTCTTAATCTTTCGTGTTAAATGGAGCTTAAATTCTTAATCCATAATTCCATATCCCTTTGGCTGTATTCAGAGGGATCGGCACTCGGCAGCGATATATTCCGCTGTTATATCAATCTCTCTCTGTTTCCTTTTGACCAGGAATTGTTATATTAAGCTCTCCGTGAACAGAGATGGGTTGTTGAAATCTTCCTAATTACGGGCTTGTCATTGCTAAATTAATATCCTCTCTCTCTTTATTATAAGTTTTAACTAATTAATCTATGAATAACAGATAATTAGTTAAAAAAATACATTAAATGCAGAGACAAAACCAGTTTGAAATTTATAAAATAAATCATACCAGTTTTTAAATTTGAAGCTTATAAATAAGACTATCTTAATTTGGAACTTATACTTTCCTCAGCCCCAGAAATTATTTATTCTATTCAAGTCGAGCTTAGTAATAAATTAAGATTGATTTTATTTTTGCTTATAAAATAATGACTTGTTACAGTTATCCATAAACGTTTTTAACTACGATAGGGGCTGTATCATGGTGTGTCACCAATAATGAAACAAGTACCCCGTAAAACGGAAGAGTTTGACTAGTAATGCGTTTGGGATTTTGTGTCCTCCTTTCCTCTATCTTCAACGTGAAAATTAATAAAATAATCACCCTCAAAATGATCCGCTACTGATATTAAATTTTTCTCTTTCTCTCTAAATATACCCTCAATTAAATGTCTCTTTAAAACATACATCTTACGATATCTTATGATTCCCCACATTATCGACCTTGTAAAAAAAGTAAGTATAAAAGTTGAAATATGAAAATAAAGGCATAAAAAAAAAAAGCAGGAAGTACTTTAACATCAACGTATAATATATTAATTCACTATCAAAAGCTTTTTTCAAATGTTATTGATTTTTATTATGCATTAATTATTTGGCACTATCTCCCATCTTTCACAGGATAAATATTAAAAAATTAATTAAATTTATTATTTGTTACAGCTATGTGTTAGTCTTTTTAATCCAGCCTTTGTATTGGATGATTGAAATTATAATTTGGTAAAAATCATTTACAATTAATAAAGATATTTAAAAAAAAGATGGAGATTAAGTAAATTGCGGTGAAACCTTTTACAATCTAACTCTTGTATATTAAGGAAAAAAGTGGTAACCAGTAAGATGAAAAGACAACGCACCCCAAGTTTATTTTTCCATTAAATCGTTGACGTTAATTAAAATTTAAAATAAAGTAATATTGCCTGCCGCTTAGTCCGGCTGTATCCTTGTTTTGAATTGTCTACTAACTGCCAGCTATCTCCCAGAGAAAATTCCATTCAAACCTTCACAAGATTCATTTTTTTCGCCGTCTCAGATTATTTCGGAACGATACAATGACACAGTTAAGTGAAAATAGTGTATAATGTTTAATGTTTTTTTATTTTTGAAAATACTACCTCTGCATACAAAACCCTATTTGACTTTTATTTTGATCTTAAATACTCCTCCGGTCCTTATTATAAGACCCAATTTGACTTTTTATTTGGTCCTAATTATAAGACCCAATCCATTTTCTCTCTTATATTTATGTATTTTTTTCCAAGATAATCCTTCTAATAATGATAGTTTTAGCCAATATACTTAATTAGCAAGGATATTTTAGGAATGACAACACTTATTTATTATAAATAACCAACTTAACTTACTTCTTTAATCTCCTCAAATAAGTCAATTGGGTCTTATAATTAGGACCGGAGGAGTACTATCTCCGGTCTTTAATATAAGACCTTGTTTGACTTTTATTTTGGTCCTAAATATAAGATCCCAATCCACTTTGTCTCTCATATTTATACATCTTCTTTCAAGGTAGTTCTTCTAATAATAGTAGTTCTAACCAATATAATTGATTAGTAAGAATATTTTAGGAAAGACAACACCTATTTATTACAAATAACTAACTTAACTTCTTTCTTTA